TTTTGAGTGACATGAAAGAAATGAAATAGTGACAAACCTCCAACAGTGGCCCCAACCAGTGCAACGAACAGCAGCACAGGCATGGTCATGAAAGAGTTGCTGTCAGCCTCACATGTTTGAGCCAGGGCTTCAGAAGGTGCAGCCATCATGAAAGCATTAGTAAACAATGCTATTGCCGAGGATCGTACGTACATTTCCTGCAAATGTTGTAGCATACTCGGTAAGGGAAGGACCATACAACTGTTACAATGATAAGGTTCCCAATGGAGCATTCATCTTGTAAGCTTCGACTTTCTAGACCAATCCCAAGAGGGAGACTATTCAGGGTTGTAGACATAATGGATGGCTCGGTATTCTAAACATTACGACTTGAATTGGAAAAGTCCTAGATTTGGTACGTTGTTAATGCCAGCATTCTAGGTTGTTAAAGCATAACCTAATAGTTCAAGGTGACGGATTTCAGATTTTTGCTTTCCGGGATTCACACTAAGCTCTTACAAACAAAAGCATTAAGGAACACAAATCAAACAACAGTTTGGACTCAGATGATGACAGGAAGCAAACGAAACAAAAATGGGGGACTCACCATCGTACCTGATGAGCTGAAAATAGTTCAAGGAACACATCTAGATTTCCACTGGATGACAAATGCCTTCGATTTGCACCCAGGAATGTCGGCCAAGTAATGGAAGGTATGTTACAGGCATCTCTAGATGACGATGACAATGTCAACTTGTCAACTTTGAACATGCCACAAGGAAACTTTCCTGCACAGATAGATCACAATGAAGTAAAAAAAGCCACTTTAGATATGTAAGATCAACAATGCAACACAAGTCATCCAAACTTCTGCAATCCTAACCAGTTATGCGACAGCTTGACATCATTCGAAACGAATGAAGCATCAATCATCCGGGCATTACAAAATTCAGTACTCAAGCAAAACACTATCTTCTTCAACTACTAGTTTCACATGGTACAGTCAATTCTTTTACCCAACATAATTTGAGAGGCCTCCAGTCACGATTAACCCTCGCTTCAAGACACATGACACCGCACATTCAAAAAAAAAAGAAAAGAAAAAACTCTCAGAACCAGAAACCAGAGCGAACCTATCACCCTACCATTATCAACATGTCCAGCAAGATCAACACTTTTACACCTCTAACAAAAACCCAATTCCAGATTCTACTGAAGGCATTTCCTTTACACTCTAACTTCCACTAAGTAGTTCCTAAACTTCGGAAAGAACATTAAATTACATCATCAAATGACAAAGCTTTGGCTAACGCAAGTGAGAAGGGGGTTCAGTGCGGAAAATGAGATGGGAATTGGGTACTCACCGGAGACATGGGATTTGGTGGAGATGAAGAGATCAGGCGGCGGAGAAGCAAAGCAACGGATTGCCACCGCCATTAATCCTTTTTCTTGAATATCTTGATGATAAGGAAGCGGTTCCCCTTTCCCTGACTGTTGGCTGCTTCACTTCTACACTGTAGTGGGCGGGTAACGTAATCGGTTTTGGGATAAACTAAAAAATAAAAATATGAGCTCCCATCTTCTATCATTTTACGGTATTGCCATTTAGCTTCTTCTCAAAATTTGACGGGTCGGAGCAATGGGTGGGTTACCCACTCCATTATAACCCACCCATTACATGTTTTGGTGGATATGATGAATGTGTATGCGTCATCGTTTTTGTTACCCCTTACAGCCTGTTTGGATAGACAAAAAACTCAGGAATTGGAATTTCATTTTCAATTCCAGTTCCATATTTTATGTTTGAAAGGATAAGAAGGTTGAGAAATGAATTCCATTTGGGCTAAGTTTTGGGAATTACAATTCCTATCAAAAGTGATACGAATTGTGTTTATGAAGATGAAATTAGTGGGTCCCATCACTATTTATTATTATTTTATTAACCAACTATCACCCTACTCTCTTTCTCTATCATTCATATTTCACTTTCCAAGATAAAATAAATATATTACATTATTAATTATTGTTAAAAGTGCAATTCATTTCTTTAGTTGAAGGAATTATACCAAACATTAAAATTGGAAATGGAATTCTATAAAAATAGGAATTGGAAATAGAATTTCATTTCCATTTCTTCTTGAATTGTATCCAAACAGGCCGTTAATGTTAGGTAGGCATCGGGTAGGTCATTATTTGCAAATCACATGATATATTAAGTCGTTAATGCACATTCTACAATAAAACACTATTTTTTCTTATATCAAAACTTCTATTGTGATTGATTCAATTAAAATGAAATTATCTTTTATAAATTTTACTGGATTTACAACATAAAATTGATCATTTTAGAAAATGATAATTGTCAGTTAGCAAATGTGATAATTGGTGTTAGATTATGCAATATTTATAAATAATTTGACCCATCAAAACCGTCAAATCCATCCACCATTCGTTGTCACCCACCCACAACGATACAAATGGGTGGGTGCGGATCATTTTTTCATCACCCACCATAAAAACCCAACCCTACCAACATGCCCATAGGTCAAAGCGCATACAAAATTTAATATTTTTTCCTTCTTTTTTAGAAAATTGATGGATGAGAGATTTTATTGAAAATCAATAAAAGAGTCTCAAGAGTAGGGGAGTGCATCGAGTTGGTCTGTACTGGACTGCATCAGATCAAACCGACATTTGAATATGAACATATCGGAATTAATTTAACATGGTCTGATTTTTGGCCATAAATTTTATAAATACTGAAAAATGGGTCGAAATGACATTTGAACCGGACCAAAGCGGACCAAATACAAACATTGGTTGAGTCCTTGTTCCTATATGATGTCTCCAGGGGGACAACTTGAGCTTAAATGTTTCCTTTCCAGGGGGACAACTTGAGCTTAAATGAAATTCTGAATGTAACTCTGGAGGAGTATGGTTTGGTTGCCATGCAAAACTTTTACAGGCTCCAGTGAGAAGAGTGGTGGTGTCCAGACTTACCAGACTGTGGTCACCTGTGATTTTGGACGGATTGTGGTCTACTGGAGAAGGTAATTCATTATCAGCATTTCCTTATTATTACTCTGTTTGCTGAACGATTTGCAGCAAGGTTGTCAAACCGGTTTATGCCAGTGTGCCGGTTTAGCAAGTGGAATGGTTCAACCGGTGGCACATACCGGTTTGTGCCGGTTCATGCTGGTCAATATTACAAATAAAATTGTAAATACTCATATTTAAACATGACATTTAACGTCAATACCTAAACATTTATACTTGAGTCCAACAAATAACATCAATATTTAACTTTTATACTCATAAAATAAATAATAAAATAATTTTTATCAATTAAATTCACTAAAATAAGATCATTTTACTTAGAGATTCGTATATCGATCATGCCGGTCATACTGGTGGTGTCACGCCGATTTTATGACCGGTACCGGTTAAACCCGGTACAACCGGTGGCACGCCGGCCGGCGTGACAACCATATTTTGCAGCGTTGTATTTGGATGAAATGTCTCCCGACTAATTACAGATGTCTCTGTCTGTCTCTTTCTAGATGAGGATGAGGATTTGATACCGCCATCGGATCCTGACTTTGAACAACAGACAAGGGTAAAGAAAGAGCTCATGTACACCTTAGATGGTCATGTTCTACCTTCCTATCCTTTCTTTGCGGAATTCGAAAGGATTCGTGGAGAACAGAAAAAAGAGAGTGTGTCAAAGAGGGTAGTAATAAAGGAGAGGTGAAAATGTGAAGCTTGAGGAGGGAGAACCTGGGGGCTGATGAGATGATGATTATATTCCTTCTCCTTGAAGGTCAAGTGCAGCATTTTTAATGTTTCGACTGAGAAGTAGAGATTTGAAATTGGGGCTGGTTACTATGGTCTCTTTGCTGCTGTATCCGCAGGAACCAGAATCTGCAGTGTAGTCTAAATGGTAACATTTGAGTTAAGAGATTTATATTATCCATCTTTTAAGTGTTGGACATCTAAGTATGCTCAATGGCATAATGAAGGTGGATTGTTTAGTGATGCATCAGTAAGTTTCTTAACGTCTTCTAGATTTTTCGGCATGTTTCTTTATGTACTAACTCTCTCAAAATTCCACTTCTTGGTTCAACATTTCCAAAAGAAGAATTTAAATTAAACTTGAATTCTCGTCCTAGTCGTTGACCCAAATCACGAATTAACATGGACACAACTCAAAGATCGGGATGTTACAACTATATTAATAGATTTGGATGAAATATCAGAAAGTTCAGAAGGAAACCTTTTCCTCAATTTTTTTTTTTTATAATTTGTGATAACCATGTCGTAGCAATTAGGAAATCGATTTGCCTCATTGCAAGTACATAACAGAACATGATTTGGTAATTCAGAAAAGAGAACTGGGGTTGCATCAAACTTGAGAGGAAGGCCAATACAAATTGGCAAGCTCCCCTAATTCTGCTCAAGTTTTCACTAGACCTTTCCTTGTTGAACACGATAACTTGCAGCACCAGCAGTCCAGCACTCAAACATATACCTGTTGAAGAGGAAGCAAAATGTTAGTACCCCCTTCTGCAAGTAACTTGTCAATACCCCCTTCCTATGCTGACCGAGTTGGCTACAAATCATCAAAGTCCAAAAGGGAGGCGGGGAGGAAGAAGATGCCTGCAGCGAGGGGTGATGATTATAAGAATTGCAGAGGTAAGAACGTTTACCTCAGGTGTGTGCATAATACTCGGATTGATTGAAGTTTCGTATCAACTGTTGTTTGTGATTAGGATTTACCGACTTCAGGAATCAATTGTTCATATTGGGAAGTGTGGGATAGATACTCTATGAGCTCCCTGATGTTCTTGGTTGGCCTATCCCTTTGTTGTCTCCAATAGTTGCAAAGATCAATGGAAGGCTCGGAATCTCGAATGACACCAGCGACCACTTCCTGGTTTTGGAAGGCCGGGAATCTCGAATGACACCAGCACCTGCCTGACTACATCAATCAATCAATCAGTTTGGTTTTCGTGAGTGCAACAGTCAGTAACCTTGTCTGTCTAAACATGAGTAAACGAGATTCGACAAATTCATCCAGTTTGCGAATTCCTTTCGCTTTTTCTGAACTAGATTTAAGCAAATTCGCATGGGGGAGATCATCAGATTTACAATGGAAAGCTCGGAAGCCAACATCGAATTCTTTCAGAGGCACCCAGATAGATCTCTTTGCTTGACAAGGTGAGATGGACGATTCATATTCTGAGATCACAGGGTGATTGATATTCTACAATGTTATCCTATACTACATTCGTGCATTTGATAATATTCTTTCATTAGAACCTTCTCCATGTTGCTTGCTGTAAAAGCAATTCTATCCATCTTCGAACATTCTTCCTTCTTCAATATTGTCTGAAAGTCAGATTGAGACGCCCTGTCCGGAGATTGGTTTGATCAAGTAACGCCTTTGGGGCAGTGTTTTGCTGAACTTTAGTCACACCATGAAATATATTTCTGGATATGCCGCCAAATATCAGTACATCTCCAGATTCCAACAATACCTTCTCTGCCTTTTTATCGTCCCTTTGATCAGCATACTCAAATTCCGCTGAATCTCCAATGGAGAAAGAAACCACCGGTAACCCCTTCCGTAGACTTTCGAAACTTTCGGCTTTGTCCTTCATACAAGGGGAAACTAAATTGTGAGATGTTGGAGAAGTCAAATAAGTAACAGAAATACAAGGAAATTTGTTGCTACAAACCTGATGAAGACCCAGCCGGCCAGATGCTGTATAGAAGTTTACTACACAGATGCTTGGTGACATTGATGGAAGGACATATTCCACATTCCCAGGTTTGCAGGTTTCTTCTATTAGCGCTTGAGAATCTTTAATAGCATCTCTAACCAATAGACTGAACTCTTGAGGAATGCTATGTGGTTTAGCTCCATCAACATTCCGGTTTTCAACGTACTTATCATCATCAGGTTCCCAGTTACGGCCAAGGCACATCATTTTCAGATGCATCTTCTCACCATTTCGGTATTCCGGTTGATAAAACCCTCCAGTGCCCACACCAAGTTTTCTACATAAGTTCACAATTTTGACCTAAAAAGTAGAGATACAAGATAAAAGTTTAGAGCACAAAGAAAGTGGAGAGATGCCTACAATGAATAAAGGGATTTTAGGTAGCAAATCGAAGTACAGCAATAACCCCACCCACAGTCAACTCTCCAGCCAAAAATATGAACCTGGTATAACGCAAAATAACTAGGATAAGAATCTGTTTTCACTCATATGCAAAGACTTCTTGCAGAACAGGACTTTACTTACTGCTGTGTCACTCCCTACATCAGAGGTCAAACGTATAAACGAACCTTCGGCCAGTTTTGAAACTAATATACTAGCATCTACTACATTAGTGCCAAGCCAGCTCAAACTTCTACGCCTACCTACCTTTCAACGTTTCTCTACCTGCTGAAAAAGCCCTAGAAAACTGATTTGAAGGGAAGGAAATGCAAAAGGCAGTACCTGATCATCCAATGAAAGATGATGTTTCAAAAGCACCATCCCGGGCCTCAATACTCTTCCATTATTCCCTTCCATATTGCGCTGCATATTCCTCTTTAATTTGTTCACCTCCGACAAAGAAGGTTTCAGCCTAACAGGACCTCCAGTCTTAAGCGGACAGATATCGAAAGATGTCCTATTCACAGGTCCTACCTCAGCCTGCTCTGACTCGCTACCACTGGCCTTGGCAGCGGTTTCTCCTTTCTGGCTTCCCCCATCATCAGAATTTCCAAGTTCAAATGGGTTCATCGTCTGTAACATACCGTATGCTGCTGGCTCAGATGCTTGATAAGAATCCCTTGAAAACGTGCCAGGAGAATTCTGGTGAGAGCTACTCCCTCTACCTAGTGACAGCCCACTCATTCTTCTACTGGAATCATCAGCATAGTTCTCTTCTCCTCCGACCTATTCCTCCCATTGGCAAGAAAAACATTCAGTGCAACGCCCACGAAATATACCAACATAAACCATGAACGATATAACATCTAGCGACGAGGAAAGGAAGGGTAGTCAGAAATGCAGCCTATGCTAATCCGTTCGCAACATCTAACCCTAATTCATCAGCATGCAAACAGAACCAGCCACAATAAGCAACAATCACAGGCCATTCAGAGTAGGGTTTAACCTTGTAATGAGTGGGAGGAGAGTTTAGGACAGGCGCCCACGATGAACGGCCTCCGACAGCGGCAGAGCGGCCTCTTCCGCCTCTTCTTCCTCTCTGGCCGGCGGTCGGAGTGCCATGGGGATTCATCGAATGCCAGCGACGCTGGATATCAAGCGGGGGGAGGGATTTAGTGCGGGAAAACTAAGGGTCGGAGCGACTTCAGACTTCAGAGGCTAAGAAGACGAAATTGGGGAGAGGAGCCGGGGAGGAATGAACCGATGGGGAAACTGGAAAGTATATAACGCGCGGAGTGACCTTTGGAATTTCATTAGAATGAAATCATTTTAATTTCTTAATTATCGACTGAAAAAAGTAGGATTAACTAAAATCTTTTTCTTTTTCTCACGAAGATCAAAATTAAATATGAAGTTCACCTGTTTGAGCTCTTTGGGCCATTCACGAGAATCTTCATTAAATGCTTTTGGGAACACCAAGCGAGTCTTGGTGGGAGTCGAACACGAAATCTGTCACTTCCCGAAACGAGCATCCACTAATGGTTCACCGCTGGACTATGTGACCTTTGGCATAATTAACTAAAATTGGTTATGCTTACGAGGCACGAATTGGAGAATTAGACGTTTGATCACTCTGTTATTAAATTTATTTCGTGATTATCACTTTAATATGATTTCTTTCTTACTAGTCACTAATTTTAGATTAGTATTTCAATATTAGTAATTGGTTGATCATTTCTATCAAATTTATCACAACAATAATAATATTTAACCGTTAAGTAATGAATTATAATTTAAACACTAACAATTAAAATAAATTATTTCAAAAATTTCATTCACTATTAGCACCACTAAAATATGCAAAAGGGCTGACTTTGCTACCATAGGTTTTCATGCTTTGGATTTTTCCGATTCGGGTCTTAAATTTTGGACCTTATATGCTACGCTGGGCATTTGCCAATATCTATCAGACAAGGTGCTATGTCCCACTTTCTAAAAAAAACTATAGGTCGTTTGCTTTTAGGATTTTCATCAAGGATTTTGGATCGAAAACGCACACTAATAGGATTATGCACAAGGGTGAATTGTACATTTGGTCACTCATTTGATAATATATTACACGTTTTTTTATCGTTGGTCACCACCCGTCAATTCCGTTAAATCCATCATGTGTCGGAGTCTCGGTGCCGAAACTCGATGTTAGAAGAGAAGCATAGACCCCAAGAGGAAGAGAAATTATGAAATTACACCGCGATCGACGGGGAAGGTATTGGTTCTTTGCAATGGTCCGAGGCTGTAAGCGGATGACGGTGTATGAGAGAAGGATACGGTGGAGAATCAAGCAGATATGGAGGACGAAGGCCAGTCATCGTTTATGATTGGCGACAATGAGGTAGAAGGGGGTGGCGACGATGAGGTTGGTTTTTACTTTTTAGCGTTCGTGAAAAAAGAGAATCGAGAGGCAACGTAGAGGAAGTAAAGGGTGGGAAAGGGTCGAAATATGGCAACAGAGTGCTGAAGGGGTAACGCTTTTGATATTATTAGGTGTTTGGGTGGTTAGCTACCGATTAACCATATTTTTATCTTTTAGTAACGGGTAACCTCGGGTTAGTAAAATAGGCCAAATGCCCCAATCGAAGCCGAAACCACTATCCTATTATCGCTTTTTGGTTTGCTGATTAACTTATTTTCGTTGGTTTTTCGGTTAACCGACAACCGTTTATCACTCCCTAGATGTGGACGCCACCACAAGTGGGATTCGAGGGTGGCGGTGACGGTGGCGGTTTAGAGTTGAAATTGGACCCAGAGGATTGGAAATCGGGGTCGTCTAAAATCAAATTAGTTTTGAATAGAGGGTAGGGAGGCCTAACTTGCCTTTCTATAAGATCTCTTCGGTAGAGATTGGGGAAGCGGCTGCATCTCTGCCAACGGATGTGAATTCAAACTCTCTTTATTCTTTTTCATCCTCTTCATTGTCTTTGCTCAGTCCATGATGCGACGTCATTTCAATTTGCATTCATTGTCTTCTTCTTCTTCCTCCCATGAGTAAAAGTCAAGGAAAGACTCGTCGTCATGGGATTAAAATCGGTTTCTGTGTTTACATGAGAGAGAGAGAAGTGAAGGAAGAGAAGCAACATAGAAGTGTGAAGTTGTGAAGAAATCGAAACCTAACTCGTTGGTCATCATCTGGCGCTCGCTCCGAAGCAGAGGGATGTCGTCGCAGGGCATGCATGGTGTCTCCGTTGAGCCTCCTTGCAAACCCTAAAATTTTGGGCCATTGTTTTTTGTTTTGAAATTTTCTTTCAATACAAATTCATAATTTAAATATGATCTGACGGTCAGGTAGAATGACATAACGAGTTGGAGTTGATGTGGGAGTCGAAGTAGCATTCACATCAACATCTCTTAAATATTACTGACGACATCTCTAACGATATCAAAATTTTAATGAAAATGTCTGAATTTATTAAAAAAATATCCCAAATTTGACTGAATTCGTGTATTTTTCAATTGTTATCACTTATCACAGAGTGAGTGCGAAGTTATGTGTATCGACTCTATTTTGCCTAAATTTTTTGGCTACAGAAATACAGAATATACTATTCTCCCCTTTGCCACCCGCGGCGATTGTGACTTGTGAGTGGAGTTTTAATTTTAACTTCCCTTCCTTCTGTTTTCTTATTTCATTTCGGTTTTCCCCTAAAATCGGTTTCATTGTTCGTGAATCTATCAAACTCTTCGTCCTCGTAGATTCGATTTCACCATCAACACCGGCCAACTCCCTCAGATCGACGTTGCTTTCCAACCTGGAGACCCCCCAGATGCCATAATCAGGTAAAGCTTCCACCTGTTTATCTCTCTTTCTTTCTCTCGATTGCCGCCGAAATCGTTAGCTAAATTATCTCCGAGCGCCGGTGCTTGATCTTTCCATCCATTTTCCGAGTTTCTCATTCGATGGGTTGTTTTGATAGATCCTTTTGTTGCAAATGCTTTCCCTTTATCGATCGACATTGTCTGGCCCTCTTTGTTAAAATTCTGTTTATTAGGGTCCAGAATTCCTTGCTTCTGTTTCTGTTCATGTTGTTGGGATACCTGGCAATCGATACCTCTAAAGTTTCGTCTGGGTTCTTGAATGAAGGAAGTTTTTTAGCTGTTTTCTCGAATGTTTAGCTCTGGCTTCTTGTGATTCTAGTTTCATTTGGTGAAAATGATGCCTTGCATGAAAGCTTTGTCTAGAACTTTGCTGCTATATTGCTATACGCCTTTCTATCTCAATCGAGTACAACCCTGTGTGGTAGAGAAAGTTTAACGCTGTCTTTGTTTTGGTATGCTTGATGCATTGTAGTTTATCATACATATCTGAGGAAGTAATAGGTAGAAGATGGTGAAGCTTACTATGATAGCGCGTGTTACGGATGGGCTTCCACTTGCTGAAGGCCTGGACGATGGCCGTGAAGTCAAAGATGTTGAATTGTACAAACAGCAAGTCAAGGCCTTGTTCAAGAATCTTGCCAACCGCCCGAATGAGCCTTCGAGGATGTCGGTTGAGACTGGCCCTTATGTATTCCAGTATCCTACAGCTCACACTCAGTTAATAATGTTTGCAACATGTAGTTGTTTATTCAAAAATACTGTATTCTGACCGTTAGGCTTATTAACCTGCTTGTGTTATTGATGGATGGACCTCGGTAGATGAATTTGAGACACTAGATAGACTCACCCTTTTCAAATGACAGAGTGAGTCTTTAAAGAAGCAGACCGGTAAAGTAATTTCTTCGTTGTTGTATCCATTTAAGTTGTTTAGCGAAGCCTAAATTTTTGACTGCTTGATGATAGTTTAAGTGACCCAATTTTGTGTTGCTTATGTGCATTTGCAGAGTGTTATACTTGTGGCATAATTTCTTTGTTTGAAGTGATTCTTTTCTAGCATTTTCCTTGACCGGATGGTCTAGTTATATTATCGAGGGACGAGTATGTTACCTTACTATGTGCGACCGTGCATATCCGAAGAAACTCGCCTATCAATATCTTGAAGACTTGAAAAATGAATTCGAGCGGGTCAATGGGCCTCAAATCGAAACTGCTGCAAGACCTTATGCGTTTATCAAGTTTGGTGAGCCCTCTTAACCTTATTTCTGCAAGTTTTGCATGTGCTCTGTCTTCGTGTTGAAAATTGTTTTATGTGCTGTTTCTGCAGATACTTTTATCCAGAGAACAAAGAAACTGTACCAAGACACACATACACAGAGGAACATTGCCAAGTTGAATGATGAACTGTATGAAGTCCACCAGATTATGACTCGTAATGTGCAGGAAGTTCTTGGGGTTGGTGAAAAGCTTGACCGTAAGTTTCCTGAGTTCTTGCATGCTATTATCGCTGTTTATTGTAGTTCCATAAACAACAAATATTGTGTTTTATCTGTATGATAACCGCGTACATATGTGAATTCTGCAACACTTATGGTTTTTTGGTGGTGGAAAGGATCTTCCTGCAATTAATGACTGTTAATTCCTCTCATTTGGCGTACTGTAGGAGAATTGTCTTATATGTATATTTGGTCATATTGCAGAGGTGAGTGAAATGTCCAGCCGACTAACATCAGAATCTCGAATATATGCTGACAAGGCTAGAGATTTGAACCGACAGGTTTGTTTCTCCAGATTATTCCCTACTTCAAAATCTATCTCTTGATCATGCTGAACCATAATTTGCAAGATTCTTGATGAACGGTGTAGTTATTGCAAGCTGCATATATGTTCCAAGCTGACTTCTTGTCTGCTGTATGCGTTTCTTGGTGCAGGCGTTGATTCGGAAATGGGCTCCAGTTGCAATCGTGTTTGGAGTCGTTTTCCTCCTCTTTTGGGTCAAAACCAAGATCTGGTGATCCTGCACTCCAGATATTGTTTGCACAGACATGTTGGGTTTCTCGGCATTGCTATCGGTTCGCTTATGTTCATGTGGCGATTTTTCCAACTTGAGAGACAGATAGAGAGAATGGAAATGGAGACATGTAACCACCCAAGGAAGGAATTTCTGGTTTAAGTAGTTGCCTCACCAATTACCCCATAGGAACAGTGTAAAAGAGAGACCCTTGTTGAACAGGCTTAAAAGGGTACACAACGTCCTGAGCTTAATTAGTTTTATGCACTAGTGATAGTGATGCATTGTTGGTTCATATTTCTACAGTTACAAGGTTACAGGCATCGACTAGGTGCAGTAATCTGGGAGGATTCATTGTCTGTCCGAGTCGTCCTCCCCCTTCTGTATGTGCTCATCAGAACTTCTCATGTGCTGTCTGCATAGCTTTCGTCACAGTTTGCTCGCCAGACCCATAAACCGGTCTTCTAAACCAAAATGAGTTTGATGATCGGATTTACATGTTCAGGAAAGAAATTTGAGACCTGGGCAAAGAAAAGCTGCAATGGCAATTCTGGGATCAATGAACATCACTTGTAAGGTGCAAACAAGGTTGTAGAGTTTTGGCCTGCGAAACCAAATGAATTGGATAATGCCACTTTAATCTCCAGCCTCTCCTTTCTCGTCCCAACCAGCACATCCTTTTCCTAAAGCCATCACAATAAAATCAAGTAGCTCCACAATAATGGTTTCTTCCAAAGCAATGAATCAGTGTCTGGTATTCTGTTAGTCTCCTGTTCGAGTCAATGATGCATTGACCATTCACATAGTTCACATCCTCTCTTACCATGCCAGACTGAGCCAATGCCCTCTCTATGCAGATTGCAGTTCCAGTTCCTGTTTTATTGTTTCAGCCAGAGTCAAATAAGATCATTAAGGAGTTCTAAAGACTAAGCTCTGAGCTGAATGGTTTGTTTGTTTGTTTGTTATTTACCATCTGGGTGGGGCAGAGTCAAGTGATGAGCATCAAAACTGATGCTCCCTCCATGAAACTCTGCATAGATTTTGGCTCCTCTTGCCTGACATTATCGATCAGAAGAGGGCGGTAGGTGAGAACCATTGAACAGCCGAAATTCGAAATGCATGTGAGCATGTACCTTAGCATGCTGCAGCTCTTCTGACAGCAGCACACCAGCTCCTTCTCTCAACACAAAGCCATCACCATCCTGGCTACAAATTACAGAAATCTCACACTTCTCAAAACTTCTTTGTCTGTAGGCTATTTACAATCCAAATCAAAATGGTAATCGAGGGTTTCCTAAGCTGTTTAACGGTTTCCAAATAGATTTCAGCATTCTGTCATCACCAAAACGGATCATGAATGAAAAGCTTACGATGTCTCACAGTACCGATTGGAATGTTGACACCAGCAGAACCACCACAGAGCATCAAATCCTGCAGAAGAAATAACAATGGTTGAACTAGCCACACCACAATTGATCAGGTCTTTTCGGGAAGGAGTTTGGCTTGTGCAGACTCACAGTTTCTCCTCTGATGATGTGATTTGCAGAGCTGAGGATGCAGAAGTTGCCAGTTGCACATGCTGAAGAGATTGAGTAATCGGTCTCTATCCATCCCAAGTCCATAGCTAGCTTGGCAGAAGCAATGTTTGTGGTCGAGAATGAGACACAGAAATTAGGATTCATCTTCTTATGTGAATGACTTGATTTCTCCTGCAATCTTCTGCATTAGCACAGCAATAACAACTCAATTTCCAAGGAGCTCCATCAAAGTAAATAAAAGATAGGCATCCAAAGAAGAGAGAACGTGGAAAATACTTACACCAGGGAATTGTGATCAGTCAAAGGACTCAATCCCACTTATCCCACTGATTCCATCCAGCATATTGCTGTAGAATACATCTAGATCTTCACCTGAAAATTGGCAAGTTTAGAGGGTTAGAGGGGTCAACCGGAAATGTTACAAATTAGGATGATATGTTGACAAATTACAAATTGATTCAATCATACTCCAAATTAGGAGAACCCGCCCATTACCATTCTTAAATACTTGTACACCGAGTCTATGACTATCTTAACCAAATACTTCTCATTCGTTATGTGTGTACCAACTTCTTGACACAATCGATGGGGTCATTTGCTTGTTGGATTTGAAAAATGAGAGTTTTGGCTCAAAAAAACCTTTTGATTTATGAGGAATTCGTACCATCATGGATTTGAAGAGTCTATTGTTTGCATGATAGATTTGATGATATAATTATGATGGATTTGCTATAAATATAACTAGCCATCAAGGATTTACAAATCCCACCCCAATATGTGGGATTTACAAGTCCGTGGGGTCCACGAATTTGGATCCAAAAAAGGGAACAAATCCGTGGATCCCACGTATTTAACACTTGACAACAAACAATGGACTTGGCTAAAATCCATCATGGGATTTGAGTCCCAAATCCATGACCCAAATCCATCAACCAAACGACCGCTAAAAAAATTTCCATGCATTTAAGTCTGCACGTGGATCATTAATACAAGCCCATAAACAAACTTTGTTAGTCAAGGCCATTTATGCTAGGCCCAAGCGAACCAATTGAAATGGACCTAATATCCTCTTTGGAAGTCCACTGCGCCACCAGTTTAAATTTCGTGCCAAAAGTTTCGTCTTCCCAAGGCTCTTCGTTGTTTACTGCGCCAATTAGCATTAGCAACGCTAATAAGTACTAACGACTAGTAACCTACTTTCCACCTTTCAAAATTTCAAACCCCCATTGTTTGTTCCCAAATTTCCCCATCTCAGAAGAAGAATCTCAATCTCCAATGGCGACGATTGAGCAACAACAGCTCAAGGACCAATGTCTCCGAGGGCATGACCGAGAAGTTGAAGAACTAGAAAGAGACGACGATTATAATGTAGGCGGCGAGCGATCCGAATCCGATTCATCTGACCTAGATTGCTGGGATTCCGACTCTGATTCCAGTTACAGCGCTTTGGACGAGACGAATCGCAAGCTCTCTTCCCTTTCCATAAGGAAGAAATCTCGGACACGGTTGGTTTTTCTTTGGGCTTTGTTACTCCCCTTCGATTCTTGAATTTAGCGATGAAAAGGAAATTGTGGGTTTCATCTTTTGGCGGACATTTTTTTTTTCTCTCTTGTTGCTGTTGCAGCCTTGCGAGAGATTGTGGAGTGGAAGGGAACGCTCGGGAGATTGAGGTGAATGGGGATGTGGTTGCTAAATTGGTTGAAGGTTAGTAAATGCGTCACAATAAATCTCGTTGCTGAAGTTTAATGATTAACACTGAGAGGGCTTGCTTTTTGGGGTTAGAAGATGGTTCTGGCTGGGTAGAAAGATGAAGAGACATTTTTGTTTTCAGTTTGCTTAGCATCAAAACAGAACTGTATCTGAATGCATAAATGAACTTGTTTCACATTCTGAGCTGGGGATGGATAGGATTTCATTTGTTTAGAATGTTTGATTGAGCTATCTTAAGTTGAATGATAAAAAGATATATCGCCCCTTTTAGTACTGTTTAGAAGTGTTAAATCGAGTTGTAAACTCTGCAACGGAGATCAGGCTTTCCAGTTCCTTATCCCTATAATTGATTATTCATTTTATTTTATTTTATTATGGTGATGTGGTGGCAGCTGGGGAGGTTGAGAAGCTGAAACTAGACCAATGTAAAGCTTACTTGAGGAAGCATGGACTGCGATTGAGTGGCTGCAAAAGCACACTCATTCAGCGCATTAAGGAGCATCAAGAGTAATGAACTGGTGCTTAAGTGTTCCATGAGCATTGTGTTTTCTGAAAGCTTTTGCTAATCTATGGTGTTGCCCTTACAGGATTTCTGGTGGTAGAGGGGAGGAAAAGTATCCCCTGTCCAGCTTTGTGGTAAATTGTAAAGGTATAACAACGTGGTGATGAATTTGATTTGTGTTGTATGCATATAGCCAGCTTGAGTGCAATAGAGTTGAACATTAACCTTTTGATATTTATCTTGGCATGTACATTGTTACTATCTACCCTTGGAACATGCATTGGTCCCCCCAATCCCTTCGTCGTGTTCATTGTTACATAATTACAGACTGCAAACTTGGGTGTTGACATTGGCTTCTGAAATAATATTTGGTTTGATGTAGGTGACGCGTGCATGGGTGATATTGTTTTGTTTGAACAAAATGTATATGACATGTAAGTCATGAAACAGTGTTTCCTTTCGGAAAACTAATGATGAAGTTCAGCTTATTTGTGGGTACCACAATCAGGTTTGATAAAAATGAATTGTATGTGTCATTTGTAGGTATAATGTTGCATCACGGAGTGCCACTGGTCCTCCCTGTGGCAAGAGAACTGTTGCAGGGAAAATTGTGAAAGAGAGCTACGGTGCAGCCAAGCAACAACATACTTTTACGGTATATCATATTCTCAGCTTCTTGCATTTTGGAACTGTCGAGTGAACTGGTGGCTGCTTTACTTTTTTGGATATATGTGTTTTATTGGAGGGGAGTTGAATGAATTATAGAATGAGATAGACGTCCTTAGTGACCACAGCCAATCCTCCTGTTGTGCTCCCTACCAATGAACTGTTTAGGTTGTTGCAAATGACTGTTTTAGGTAGATAAGTTTTACTTCTTTGCACCTGAACCAAACTAAAACTTCTGACTTGTCTGATCAGGTGGAGGTCCTGTGGAGCAAAGGCGAAAAGCCACTCCCTCCACTTCATCCCCTCCTCATTAAAGGTCGGAATTTGTACAGATTGAAGACCTTGAGACAGGTGATGACATCATGTTTTCCGTTCCATTTTGCTTCCAGTTCAGCTTATTACTACTCTCAAGTGATACTTTGACCTTTCCAGTGTGAAAATAACTTCCGTTTTTCCTAATTTAGAAATGGAAAGATGAAGAAGAACGGACTAGAGTTCTGATGGAAAAGCACTCAAGGGGCTCTCTTGCTAGATCTGATAGAGAAATCAGAATCGGAGTGAAAGACAAGAAGAAACAAATAGTGAAAAAGGGAAGGTACGGAGAAACATGTTTCTGTTCCATAATTTTTGTTTCTTTTATCCTTGTTGAATATTTGTGGTCTTCTGTACCATAGGGTCTCGAGGAAGAATCCAAATGAGAACCACCCTGATTCAGTAATGGTGGATTTGACAGTCCAACATTCTAGTGTAGTTGCTAACTCAGAAGCTATGGCAACTCTTGGAAAAAATTCTGGGAAGGGAACAAATCAAGATCTGACATTGGCAGCATCCATCCAACCTCCACGTTTTCGAGCAGCCACTCATGCAGCCCACATGGAAGTCAAACCTGAGAAGGCTACAGTTCTACACCCTAATTCAGGACAGTCCAATGGCAATGACACTATTGTAAAGGAAGAAAGTAGTAGACATCAGAACTCATATTACCCTCAAGAAGATTCAATCCGGCATCAAAACTCCAGGATATCTCCTCCCAAGTCAAGTAAGGTAATAATACCTCAAGCTGGCCTGCCTAGGAACCAAACCCAGAAGCATGAAAGTCACAGGCGAGATCAAGTTCCTCTAGACTCCGTGATGTATTCTGATGTTTTCAGCATGCAGAGGAATTACGACCGTTCTTGTTTTGATAAGTATCAACACATGAGTTTTAGGAGGGAAATGTCCCCGATTAAAAACTATGACAGGAGCTTCAGGAGGGAACTGTCGGCTGCAAACTATAATAGACAACCTTTTTCACTACTGGATAATGGCCTTCCACGAATGCCGTACCATGGACAACGAATCAACCGTAAACTAGAACTATGTAAGTACTATGCTAGGGGAAGATGCTATTTTGGAGATGATTGCAAATTCTCACACCAGCGAGAAGAGGTGCCATATGGTCATAGGGGGGAAGTTAGGGAGCAACATTATGACGGAAGACTATATTCATGAGATCGTTGCTAGTTGACAATGGGATCGATGTGAGTTCAGGGTCACACCAGCTGAACTTGGTGATTTGTA